CCAGAGTTCAGCATGGCACCTTCCTTGTAGGTATCTGAGGAAGCTGGCCCGTGTTGACCATCCCTGGCTCTCAGTCTTGTGCCACTTCTCTGAACCTTAGTTTGAATCATGGACCTCAGCATTCTCAGAGCCAGAAGGGTTGGCAGAGATGGTGCTTTTCCACTCATTCATTCACTTGATAAGCATTGCTTCATTGCCTCTTATATGTCTGGACTTATGCTGGAGGGCTTGAATGTGGCAGCAAATGAGGTGAGCACAGCTCCTCCCCTGGTGGAGCTTGGAGTCCAGTGGGATTTTCCAGATGAAAAACCCTGTGACTGAGGGACCAAGAAACTTGCCAGCTGTCCCACCACGTGTTTCGGAGCTGAGAACAGATTGTAGCTCTCCTGAATCCTAGCTGAGCTCAGTGCCAGTTCTCTTTGATATATACTATTTTATTTCATGTTTGTGACACTTCAATGAGATTGGAAACTCCAAAGGGGCAGGGACTTGTATTCCTCTCTGGCCCCACATTACCTAGGAGGAAAGAACCCCAGTCCATACCTGTTCCCATCATGGTCAATTTCAAACCATCACCGTCACATCGCTGAAGGCAGACTGAGGAAAATATGTGAACTGCCTGCCATGACACAGTATTCCCACCATATTCATATAAAAAACAAGATAACTTCAAGAACATCATAGTAAAGGGTGGAAAATAAAATTAGGGAGTGATGAGTTCTGAGTATTTATTGTCTTTTTTGGATATAATTTATTGAACTTTAAGTTGACATATTTCAATTTTTAATAGTGACTCTATTGAACAGCCAGCATGAGCCACCTCCAGCACAAAACCAGGGACCAGTGGCAACAAAAGGTCACCAGTCACAATAGCTTTGTGAGCATGCCAGGTGAAATACTGTCTGTAAAGTACACTTCAAATGGGATAGTCCCCAAATGCATGGCAGCGTTCACCAGGATGTTGACCTGCTGAGATGTTGGCACCAAACACTGGACAGAGGAAGGAGCCTCTTGGTACCAAGTCAGTTTCTTGTAAAATATCCGGTTTGGAATCCTCATCCATTGCCCCCTGCCTCAAATGCAGTCTGTGTGGTTGTACATCCTTTCTTCCCAGTGCTCAGATCAGACTTGACAGAGCGGACTGGGAAAAACTGGAAAAGGGTGGTGATCAAGAGACCAGTTTGGCCTCATGGATATATTAGTTTGGATTGGATTTGGCTACAAGGGACAATAAACCCCAAATACCAGTGACTTAGTTGAAACAGAAGTTTATTTCTCCTTCATGTGCCAGTTGTCCAGCAGGCAGCCAGCACTGGTTTTGCTGTGGTTATTCTGTGATGTCCCCAGGGATTCTGACTCTTTGAGCTTCCTTTCCACCATTTCCATGGTGAGACTCATTCCTCTTGGTCCATCAAATCCATGTTCCAAGCAATAGAATGGAAGCAGAGATAATAGGGAAGAAAGAGGAAAGTTCCTGGCACCTCCAGGAGATGCTCCCATACACGCCTCTGTCCAGACCCTCTCCTGGGCCCCCCCATAGCTACAAGGGATGCAGGGAACAAATCCTTATTCTGGGCTTCTGTGTGCTCAGCTGAGACTCTGACTTGGAAGAAGGGAGGGAAAGATGTGGGGTGGGGGATGGGGACAATCAGTAGCGTCTGCCACAGTCAGAATGGAAAAGCCCATCATAGGATTTTTGTCTCCCATCCCCAGCTCTGTAGGCAAGTCCTCACCAGCCTTGTCTTATGCTTGGGTGGAGCAAGGACTTGCCGAAAGTGACTCACCATTAATGACCGAGTCTGTGGGCAACAAAACTGTTTCTGAAGCTGAGTGTCACAACACTGCATCTTCCTATTTCTTAGCGTCTTACTCGGCTACACTGATTTGCTTTTGCTCTAGGGAGGCAATATCATGGTTTAGAGCAATGCTTTGGAAACTATTTGGCAAAGGACCAAATTTTTTTCCCTGAAATCTCCAGTTGGTTTCAGAGTGAGTATCCTACTGCCTGACTGGCATTCAGTTCACACTAGATGCCCCTCGACAGGTAAGTTGTGCACCCCCAGACCCTTTATCAATAGGAGTCAGTGATTATGTGAGTCACAACATGAAGCTGCCACAAAAGCGTCTAAATGCTTGTCCTCAATTCCTATACTCTCTCAGCATCGATCAGTAATATACAGTTCATAGATCGGCACGGGTCCTTGGACCAAACTTGAGTAGTTCTGGTTTAGACTTGATTTTGAGGTCACACCTATCAGGGCTCAGAACTCATCTTTATATTTTGCTATTTGTGTGAGCTCGGCCTGTTTTAGTTCCTTGATGTTAAATGGAAACAATAATAATACTGAATTCACAGGTTTTAGTAAGAATAAACTAAGATAATGTGTCTAAAGCACTTAGTAGAATGTTAGCATAAAGTGCTCATTTCATACAGACCGTTATTTACAATATGCAAAAATAGAAAGGATAAAAAATGTAATATATTTATTTATAAAACATATATTTATTTATCATACATATATTTATTTGTCAAACAGCAGTTATCTAGGTAGTAAAATTTGCATTGATCTTGATTTTTCTTTATACTTTTCTCTGCTTTATAAATTTTCTACAACGATCATAAATTACTCTGTAATCAGGAAAATGTTATTAATATTTGTTATGCCAATTTTCTCTGCGCCGTTTCTTTTGCCACAGCTTAATATTCTTTCTCAATAAACCAATATAAACACACATATTTAGTAAAATTGGTTTTGCAGACAATTTTCAACCTTTCTTTGATGTTTTGTAAGCATCTACCTAATATTCATTTTGTAATTTTCAGTGGAGGAAAACACAGCCTGCGAAGTGTTTGCCCACTGGTGCCAAAAGCCTTGGAGAGGCTTCAGGGTTCCTTTCTTACATCCTCTTCCCCTGGTGGTGGCCCCATCACCACCCAACCTGAACGTCTCTGTTCATGGCTCTGAATCACAGCCAAGCCCCAGCGTTTGGAGGGAGCGGGCAATTCAAAGAAAAGACAAGGTGGCTTCACATCCACAGGGTGCCCTGGTCTCACCAGCAAACACAGGCAGAGGGGGGCCGTGTCCTCGGCTACCTCACCATGGCTCAGACACCACTGCTGGTGACATCATGCAGGCAGCAACACAGAGGATACATTAACATGGGGGGACGGGTACACATGCATGAGGACCATAATAAAGACATCTTTCCTTTCCGACTCTCCGCAAATAAAGTCCTTGGTGAGGTCTTCCAGTCATCCCGCCCTGTGCTGCTCTCCCTGAGAAGAATGATCCTCACCTTGAATGCGGCAGCCTGGAGGCTATTACATATTTTGGAATAACTTTTTCTACTTGGCTAGGAGAGAATTTATTGAGACAAAAAAGACGACAGTAATTTAAGTTTCCTTAGACGGTTTCTTAGAGATTTGTAAAATCCAAAAGGTCTCAAACTCTTCCAAACTCTAAGAGGGCACTTTAACTACTAAACATTTATTAGTGTCAACATTCATTTGGAAAGACTATCTTTATGACCTGGTAGTGTTGCACGCTTTGGTGTTACAAATATTCTTTAGGGTACATTGATATCCCAGATACAACTGAGGGTTAGAGTAAATGTTTACCAATTGGGAGATAATTTTGGTAATTCTATATAGGATCTGTAGCCGTTTATCTGCCTCTATGTCAACACATTATAATATGATAAGAGCTACGATTTATTCACTTCCAAATCCTTGGGCAGTAACAGAATCCTCTGTTATAGCCTTGATCCAATGGAGAAAATACAGTCCATTTTGGAGGTTTCTGGAAATTCATTGAGATGACAAGAGGGCACTGCATTGATGTTTCGGTCTGCAAGCAGTCCAGTAAATTTCCCTAAGTGACCCTGTGAAAAGCCATGGCCTCACACTATCTGACATCACAGGGAGGTAGATTGGGCTCATCACAGCAACCCCTGTGAGCATCTAAGTTACTCACACACTGAGTCAGAGAAATGCATGTGACTTTCCCAATATAGCAGAGCATGGGCCGGAGAGAGATCAGGAAGGCCAGCTTGAGCTTCTAGTTTTCTTCCCAAGGGGAAGCACGGGAGGTCTTAAAGGGGGAAAGGCTCTGGAGGTGGTTATTATACCCCTCTAAGTCCCCATAATATTTTCAGCCAAATTGTCTCAGTTTTACCAGAAGGACCCACAGGCTCAAGTCCACAGATTCAGCTGTTGGCTGTGTGGGGAGAGCTCAGGAATGCAGAATCAGTGATGGTCAGACACCCTGGAGGACTTTCTTAACCGATGCCTTTCCCTTTCCCTTTTCTTTTTGTCTGTGTGAATAATCCCCGTTTGGGCCAGTGAGGATACGTTTGAGAATACTGCACTTATATTGTAGTTTTTAAGGTATAAGGGACCTCATCTGAGATGAAGACCTCCCATGATTTCTAACGTTGTCATTCTACTGTTCCACCTGGTTGGCTTTATTTTTATTTTATAAAGTCCTTATTTTCCGTAGTGCAGCTCATTTCAAAAGATAATACTCACTTGTGGCTCAAGGCCTAGCAAAAGGAAACCCATCCTTTCCTCCCCTCCTTTCCCTCCGGTTTCCAGCCTCTGGGAGGAACAGACTCCTCCCTGCGGGACGAGTACCCGCAGCCCAGACCACAGCTGGCCCCTGGCAGAGGTGTGCCAACAAAGAAAGAAAACAAAAGGCAAGCTGCGTTCATTTCAAGCTCCATCAGGGGCATGCATTAGGTGAGGAAATCAATGGGGAAGATGAAGCGAGCAGGAAAAGAACTTCTTTTTCTCAGTCTCTACAATGGATTTGACCACAAATAATGGTAGGGCAGAAATCACTAAGCAACACCCATTTAGAAACAGAAAAATTTAAAAATCACATCCAGTAAACATTTTTTGGGGTTATTTCCAAAAAAAGATAACTGACACTTTGTTCTTTTTTTTCTTTATGTGGCAAAATACCAGGCAGGACCCAGGATTACAGTACCCAGCTAGGCTTTGTGAACGTCAGGTGCTTTGTATGAGGTAGGAATTGTTGTTCTGAGGTTTGCTGTGGCTGTTTGAAAGGCTAAACTCTTAAGTGTCAATAATATTGATGATTCATCATAATTTGCTGGAGAATAGAGAAACATTTTATAGTTTTGCTTTCATGAGCCAGTAAAGAAAGAGCTTCTTTAGGGAGTTGTTAACCACTCAAAAGTCCTCCTCATCCCCTGACCAAAACAAAATAAAAGGTATTTTGAGATAAGATGTGACTAGAAGTATAGTTTTGATGTTTGTAAATAGTCTCAACAGAATCAATTCTTACTCTGTTTTCATGCAACTTTTGAATCTGTGGGAAGTTCCACAAAAGGAAGATTTTTTTTTTCCCTCTTTCTCTGTTTCTCTATATCGGTTTTTTGCGTTCTTTTGTATGGTTATCTTGGCCGTCTTCCTTTTCACAGATTGGGTACGCTTTTCCCTATTGTTGTCCTGCTGTAATAGCGGAGGGGGACCACCAGGTGGCACTGCGCTAGACGAGGGGCCCTGGAAAGACAGGGGACTCGGTCTGAGTCAGTGCCAGGAAAATCCTGGGGCAGGAAGGGTCAAAGGAGAAAGTGAGAGAATGAGAATAGCATTGGGAGAGGTTACAACCGACTGCAGGGGAGGAATCTTGCCTTTTGCTTATCAACTAACCTGAACTCCTGGAAGCCAGTTTCAATCACCATATAGTTGGAACTGAGATGAAAAGTGGACATACTGTCTGTGGAAATCAGTATTCAAGGCAAACAAATCAGGGAGAGATGCACCCGGATCATCAAATTGGTTAGAAAATCCAGGTAATCTTTGCAGATGGGTCCTCTCATTAATGCTCCTAGCCCTGATGAAGAAATTAAATTTGAGCAGTTCTTCCAATAATCTGCAATGAAAATCAGTAACAGACTGACACCTTGCATGATTGATGAAAATTAATAATAGATTGGCGCTTTGCACTCCCCCTGATTTGGGCACAACCAGAGTAGGTGTGCATTTCTAGCCATTTACATTTAAAAGCTAGAAAATATAAAATTTCTTCACTTTGCCCAGTTATCCTTATATAGTGTAACATCAGACCAAGAGTCTTTCTCTTAATACCCCTCCTACCCTCCAAAGGAATGTTTATAAAACAGTAAACCTTTCTTGGAGGAAGAGAAGGAGGGTTACATTAATACAGCATTTGTATAAATGAAGTCATGCCCCAAACATGAGGTAGTTATTAAATAACTTCTCCTTATGTGCCCAGCACTGTGCCCAGCACTCTGGTAGTTAAGAAATAGAAGCCATAACTTTCCCTCATAGTTTCTGCAAAACATCCCTGATTCAATTATGGGGTGACTGTTGTCACATGTTGCACAGATACAGCTGCACCCAACCTCTCATTAACTTAATGGATTCCTATAGTCAGTCCTCCAGGGATGTGGAGTTGAAGCTGCTGAGATTCACAGAAAGTGTGGGTGTATTTATAAATGCATCTCCCATTACTCCCAGGTTCTCGAAAGGAGAGAGCTCTGCTCCCATAGCAGGTAAGGAGAACTGAACACTGTAGCAAGAAGCTGTCATCATGTGTTCATTCAGTTATAGTTTTAATGACACCTAGTTTTGCATCCCAAGAAGAGAATGTCTGGTCATTTTTGTGTTCTCTGTCCATCTTGGAGTTCCTGCTGGACAGGACATTTTGTATGATGTTTTATGTAGCAAGGACTGACTGCTTTACTACACAAGGTCTCTTGTATGAAGCAATTGGCTTTGCTTAGGAAATGCTTTGGTTTCATGATCAGAGGCATCAACTCTACTTTTAAAAAATTATCAATTGTTTCTAAAGAATAAGTCATGGATTATAAATTCATAGCCCACATATAATCTGAGCCACAAAAATATTTTCTTGGGCCAGCAACGTGTTTAAAAACGTTCATGAATATGAAGGCCTTTAGTGGACATTCCAGTTCACAACTGGTCCCCACTCTTCTGTGACTTAACAACTAGCCTGACTCACATGAGAGGTTTTCAAAATGTTAATGAAAAATGCATATTAAGAAGAAAAACCATGCGTGGATTTTGAAAATTTGTTGCACGAAAATAAACTCATGCTAACTTGTCTGAACAGGATCTAGATTGGCACTAAGACAGATAAGACCTCAGTTTGAAAAGAGCCCCTCTCAGAGCAACATGAATTTTGCTAAAATTGTAGTAAAAGCAAATATCAAATTTATAGTGAAGCTTGGATGGAAGAATGGTAAAATAACTGATGCTTTACAAAGATTTTATGAAGACAATGCCCCCAAAGAAATCAGCAGTTTCCAAATGAGTGACGTGTTTTAAGAAGGGATGAGACAATGTTGCAGATGAAGCCTGCAGCAACAGATCATCCACATCAATTTTTAAGGAAAAAAACTAATCTTGTTTGTGTTTTAATTGAAGTGGAACAATGATTAACAGCCAACACCAAAGACATCTCAACTGGCTCAGCTTACACCATTCTGACTGAAAAATTAAAGTTGAGCTAACTTTCTACTCAATAGGTGCCAAGAGCATTGCACGCATATCAGCTGCAGACCAGAGCACAGCTTTCAGTGGAAATCTTAATCAAGATCCTGAAGCCTTTGTCTGAAGAATTGTAGCAGTAGATTGGAACATGGCTTTACCAGTATGATCCTGAAGAGAAAGCACAACCAAAGCAATGGCTACCAAGAGAAGGAAGTGGTCTTGTCAAAGCCAACATGCATCAGCCAAATGCAAAGGTCATGGCAACAGGTTTTTCGGATGTTCAAGGCATTTTGCTTACTGTCTTTTTGGAGAGCAAAAGAATGATAACATTTGCTTATATGAGAGTGTTTTGAGAAAGTTAGCCACAGCTTTAGCCCAAAAACTGCTGGGAAATTTTCATCAGCGGGTCCTTCTTCACCATGACAATGCTGCTGCTCATTCCTCATCAAACAAGGGCAATTTTATGATAATTTAAATGGAAATCATTAGGAATTCACTTTATAGTCCTGATTTAGTGCCGTCTGCCTTCTTTTTGTTTCCTAATCTTAAAAAATCTGTAAAGAGAGCCCATTTCTCTTTAGTGAATAATATGGAAAATACTGCATTAACAGGTTAAATTCTGAGGACTCTACATTGTTTAGGGATGGACTAAATGGCTAGTATCATCACCTACAAAATTGTCCTGACCTTCATGAAGATTATGTTGAGAAATAAAGTTTACCTTTTTTATTCTTTTATTCTTTTTTTTTTTTTTTTAGAGACAGGGTCTTGCCATGTTGCCCAGGCTGGTTTCAAACTCCTGGGCTCAAGCAATCTTCCTGCCTCAGCCCCCTGAGTAGCTGGACTACAGATGCATGCCACTATGCCTGGATTCTATTTTTATCTTTCAATTCCATTTTTTCCATGAATATTTTGAAGTCACCTCACACTTGTGATCTCTGCCTGGCTCCGGAGGCCTCTGGGAAATGGATCAGCATAAAAGCCACATATGAACTTCATTAAGGATGGGCCAGCACCTTCTCATATAATGGATCTCAAATAAATGGAAATAAATCCCATACACTGTTCACAGGATGGTGAATTGGAACAACTTCTCTTGAGGGCAATTTGGTGATATAATAGAGGCCTGTTACATGGGTGCCCATTATGTAGGGTGAATTGATAGTAAGAATGGAATATATAGACCCACCAGAAGGAGGCCTGCTCTCCTGCACATCTGGCATGCCTTGGAAAGAGAAGTATGCCTTACCACTGAGAGGAATGGAGGGCTCTTGCCAATCTAACAAGTCCTTCATTTGGAGATCAGTTAAAAACATTTCAGAGAGTAACTAGTCTTTAAAAAGAGCATTGTCTTCAACTGAATAATTCCAGTCCTCTCTAGGAATTCTTTTCCAAGAAAATATATAAATGAGGGTGGAAATGTTTAGATACAAGACTGTGTATAACAGCATCACTTGTTAAAATAAAAATCGGAAAAAAATCTCATGTTCAGTAATAGGGCTTGGTGAATAAATCATGAGAGCCATTTGATGGAATACTATGCAGTCATTAACAATGATATACAGATGACTTTTATGGACATAGAAAGTCATTTGCATTTTAGAAATTTGAAGATTATAAAACGGCACAATCCCACCTTTGCAAACATAAATATGCACATATTTAGTGTGGTGGGCAGCCTCTAAGATGGTGCCCAGTGACATCTGCCTCCTGGTATTCACAGCTTTATGTAATCTTCTACCCTTGAATCATTGGTTTCTAGCTCATGGAATTTTGCAACACTGAGGAAATGTCAACTCCATGATGCAGTTATGGATTTGCTGACTTCTGTCTTGCTCTCAGACTCCCTCTATTGTCTTCTTGACTTGCTCACTTTGATGAAGCTGCTTCCACGTTGAAAAGGCCCTTATGGCAAGGAATGGAGGGTGGCTTGCAGCCAACAGTCATTGGAAAAATGAGGTTCCAGTTTAACAACCCACAGAGGGGAACTGAATCCTGCTCACAATCATAGAGTGAGCTTGGAGAGGGATCCTTCCCTAGCTGAGGATTCAGATGAGACCCCAGCCCAGGACAACACTTTGATTGCAGCCTTATAAGAGACTGTAAAGAAAATAACCCAATTTATTCATGCCCAGATTCCTCACCCACTATGAGATAATGTGTGTGTTGTCTGAAGCTGCTAAGTTGGTGGTAATATGCATCATGGTAAGAGAGAAACGACACTCAGGTCAAGAGGTCTGGATACTACAAAATATCGGATGTCACATGTTTGGATGGCATAAATGTAGCATTCTTAAAATGTTTGGGGGCTACAGATCACTTACATATGGCACTGGCAGGCTTTTATATTTTATTCTGATGAAAAAATTGAGATTTTGACATTGTCATTGAATAAACAGAAGGGTGACTTAACAGTTTACAATTTATTTGGCTGATTTCGTATACTTGTGACAGAGCTATCATGTCTTCAAGACACATTATATTTACGGTGGTAGTGGGGGGTTGCTGTGATTTGAGGAGATTTTAATTCACATTCTTTTTTTTCTTTTTATTTGGCACAGGTTGGGTTTTCTAGAGGTAGACACTGAGGCAAAGGAAGCATGGGTTACAAGATGTTTATTAGGTATCAACACCTGTGGAAAGGAGAAAGCAGAAGCAGCATTGATTGGAAGCAGATGCTGAACTCCAGTGCAGGCCCAATTAAGCCTCATCCAATCCAGTGTTTTAAATGGGGCTGAGCAGCCCTGTGTCCCTCAGCCGCTTAAGGCAGGCTGTCTCCCGGGAAGGGAGAGACCTCAGTGGTGGCTCACTGCAGACAGACCTGGAAGGAGCTGACAGCTAGAGGTCATCTGCCAACTGCACCCCCTGCACTGGCCAGCGTATGCTTCCTTGCGTGAGGTTGTCGGCAGCTCATTTCCATATCAGCTACTGTGTAAAGGTGGGGCAGAAAGCGGGACTGAGCTGGGGAGGAACTGAGTTGCTACGTGGACCTAACAAAAGCTTGGCCAACCACTCAGGACACTACTGAGCAGATTTGGCCCATCAGAGTGTTCTCCCATTGGGTGGAAAAGGCCAGATTTGTATGCCTCCTGTGATGGGTCACTGGATGTGGATTGCCTCAGGATGGGCAAGCTCTTGGGTGAGGTCACCCTGAAGCTGACAGCTGGAAGGTGTCTACTGAGTGTTCTCTCCACAGCTGCAGCAGCAAGTCCTTCCTCCGTGGGGAGCTGAGTGGACGTCTCGGGATCCGCGGTCCGTGTTTTGCATCACGCAGATCCAGTTCTTCATATATGTTGTGGGTGCAGCTTCTCCGGGATTCTAGTGAGCCCCCTGCCTTCTTATAGGAAACTTGGAAGAGGAAGTTTAGTAAGAGGAACTAAAGCCCGTGTTCTATTAACTGTGTCCATAACTCTGCATTTCTGTGATGCAGAGAGTTACGGAGACAGTTAATAGAACTGTCCATAATCAACCCAGATTTAATCAACTTGGGTTGATTAAATCAAGTACTTCCCCAGGTGCCATTCCTTCCTGGGTGCTCATGCTGATCATTGTGCACACCTGGCTTGTGGTGGTTAATCGCTGTTAGCTGGCATTTGTTGTTGGTTCCAGGCCCTATCATCCCCTTTACCCTCAGTACACCTAGTTCTTAAAAACCCCTTCCTACCATCAGCCCTGTCTTCCAGGGAGAGCCACCTCTGAACACCTGAGTGATGATGGTGCCCCTAACTCCTGGCCTTAGAAAACGGTATCTCCTTTGAGTCTTTCTTAGCTCGTCTGTTGAACATTGGAACATCTGTTGTATCTTCTGGCTGTACATGATGTATTTACTCCAGCATGCCCACCTCGCACAGCCTTTTAATCCATCCCTGCAGCATCTGCCATGGAGGTTCTGGCATGTCAGTGTCACTTCCCATCACCTATCACTTGCTCCGTGTTTCTAGGTTCCATCGTAGTAGCAAGTTTGCATCATGTCCCAGACTTCTTGAGAAGATGTGTCTTGGGAGAGAGCTCCGAAATCAGTATACTCCACCAGAGCCATGTTCTCACCCCATTGATCAAACACCCATGGTCACTGACTAAGCACCCCGGCTCCTGCTAGCACATGCTGGCTAGAGCTTATAGCCTCTTTGGGATATAGCTCTTTTCTTCCTGTATCAGGCCCAGACTGGTTGTGTTGTGACTTAGCCCTACCTACAGGCCAAATGGCCAGGAGAGGAGGCAGGGACAGATCCTGAAAGGGGCACATGCTGTCTAATGGGGAAGCAGCTTCTGCATCGAAGCTTAGACCTTTATACTTTACAGGGAAGGTTTAGAATTGTTTTTAATTTTTTTTTTCAGGCATGGAGAGTTCAGAGGAATCTGGGAATCGAAACTTCCAGAGGCACCTGCCTAGGTATTCTCATCCTAAAAGTGTGGGCCTCATTTTTCCCCTTCCAGGACCCTGACCTTGACATCATGGAGCTGTCTTGGTTGAGGATTGAACTTCTCTGGAGTTTGTCTGCTCTTACTATGAAGTGCTGAGCCTGGACCTCAGATTTCTCTGTCCTCCCACTGCAGGAGATGAAAGCTTCTTTGTGAGATACCAGGAAGGTCCTCTGGCTTTCATACTTGCCTTTGAGTTGTAGCTTTTCGGGATGTCTTCTAGAATATCAGTGGTGTTTAACAACAGCCTTTCAGGCCATTATCCTTATAGTTACAGCCCCGCCCCAGTACATATCTGTGGTCAGTTGCTCCAGCGAAGGTATTGTCTTCCACTGGCATGCCATCCCACCTCATCAAAGCTGAGAGCTTTAACAGCTAGACTGCTACCTCATGCCAGAGGCTGTCCATGCTCCACCCACCACCAGTGATGGGTCCTCATTGCCAGCTTGCAGACAGTGCTCCTCCTCCAAAACTCCAGCCTGCTTTCTTGAACCACCCCGAGTACCATTTATCCCCGGTGGCGTTCTCTGAAAGCAGAAACCGAGATGGGATTTTTATGAGTACTAACACCCATGAGAGGAAGGGAGAGGCAGCAGGTTTGGGCAAAAGAAGGGGTAAAGCTCAAGGGCAGGCTTAGTAAAGCCATTGCCCAGCCGCAGGGAGCTCTGTAATGTGCATGGCCCAAATAAGTTGTCCCCTGTTGGACAGAAATAGCCAGGCATCTGTGATGAGTCACGGGATGTCGGCTTCCCTGGGAAGGGCAAGCTTATGACTAAGCAGCTCTCAGGAGCTGAAAGATGTGACCGCTGGAGCTATCAGCTCATGGCACCCCCAGCAGCTGGGGCAACCAGTCTTTTCTTGAATGGGAATCTGGGTGGGGTGTTGTCATGTCCACCACGCTGCTGAAATGTAATTCCTCATTTTGCCCTACAATGTCCATGTGTTACTTTTTCAACTAAATTAATAAAGAAAATAAGACAAAATTTATTTTTTTATTTCAAGGTGGAATTCAAATCAGATCACCCCCTGCCTCCACCTCTTTTTCTTTTGAGGCATGGTCTTGCTCTGTCTCCCAGGCTGGTATGTAGTGGTGCAGTCTTGGCTCACTGCAGCCTCGACCTCCTGGGCTCAGGCAACCCACCCACCTCAGCCTCCCAAGTAGCTGGGACTACAGGTGTGCACCATTAGGCTCGACTGATTTTTGTATTATTATTATTTTTTTTGTAGAGGCAAGTTTTCGCTGTGTTTCCAAGGCTGGTCTCAAACTTTTGAGCTCAAGAGATCTGCCCACTTTGGCCTCCTTTCAAAGGGCTGGGATTATAGGCGTGAGCCACTGCACCTGGCCCAGATCACCCTTTCTTAGTTTAATTATTCACTTTGTGAGAATACTGATTTGGTGGTAATTTCTAGCACGTAAGGGAGCATGTGTGACCAAGATTCCAAGCATCAGGTTACAAATGGTAAATTCAGTCAAGCTGATGAGTAGATCATTCTATCACCTCTGCAGAAACCACTGGTGTCTTTCAGCCTCTCTTGGGTTGATTAAATCAAGTACATCTCATGTCACACAGGAAGGATTCAGGGCTAATGGCCAATCTATGGTCTGGGCCCTGGTAGGTAGTGACATCTTATGTCTTTAGGGAAGACAGTGAGT